GGGAAGGGGGCCATTTGTAATACTTTCAACAATAAAGATAAATTTAAAAATACCAAATAATCCCATACTATCTAATATTTTTAATCTTTCACAGCATCTTTACTTTCTACTGTTTTGCTTAAATTAATACACTAAGTCACTATTTTAATCAGCTAGACATTTTGGTGTAAATTTTCCCAGACCAAGTCAGATATACCTTCTTGCTTATAAAGCAAGATTGTCATCTCATCTCCCCAAGCCAGCATTATGAAAAGATTCTACTGTATCAAGAGTTCCAATCTTGAGCACATTCCAGCCACAGCTCAGGGGTACCCTGGAAGTTGGATTTTACACAGGTAACATAATCCTTGTGGATAGAATTGAGAAGTGACTTTGTTTCAAGGAATGTATTTCATCCTGATTTATATACACACACACACACACACACACACACATACATATATTTGAATTAAGTGAAGAATATTCCTTGGTTAAAGATAAAAGGCTTTCTTCTCCAAAAGATACTTGGCACATCTGAAAGTCAGGTGGAATATTTGGTGTATTCAGGTCAAATCGTCCCTGACCTCACCTTTCAGAATCCAGCATAAACTGCTGAGATGCTCAGGGCTGCCTTAAGGGGTCACAGCAGCAGTGCATGCTTCCATTTCCCAACAGTTTCATTAACTGTGCTGACTGGTAACTTAAATATGGAGTCTCCTTTGTTATTATCATGTTTTCAGAAACTTAAGTCCAACCAAGTATGTACTTAGGAAGGCTACTAGACTATGAAATTATTCCTTCTAAGTTAAGAACGTTAACTAGGTTTTACGAATAGAAAGATGAGTCCATCAGTTATCTTCAAATCTCATTTTATTACAACATCCAATGTGTTCTCCCCAACAAAGCACTTCTAACAGAAAGCAAATGTCAGATTTGGATTCTGTCCCTTTCCCCTGACTGGCCAAATGCAGGTAACAGGAGGGGAAAGGAGGAGCCAGAATGAATCCATAATCATAAATTGAGCAAATCAACTGTAGTGAGAGCTAATGAACTTCATACAGAAAAAGAAAATCTGTGCTGCTTAAGTAAAACGCTTACATTAATTACCAAACGTTACTATTTAAATCCAGTAATTCTGAGATGAAAGCATTAGAACCAGTAACTTCGGTCAAAGAATGAAGTAGGTAGAAAGCGGCACTTTGAATCTAAAGGAAGAAAGAAATGGCAGGCTATGATAGAAAAAAAATAAATTCTTTTCCTGCGTGGCCAGCGTGGCTCCAGTGGTTGAGCATCGACCTATGGTCCAGGAAGTTGCAGTTCAATTCTCAGTCAGGACACATGCCTGGATTTTGGGCTTGATCCCCAGCAGGGGGTGTGCAGGAGGCAGCCGATCAATGACTCTCATCATTGATTTTTCTCTCTCTCTCCCCCTCTCCCTCCCTCTGAAATCAATACAGACATATTTCAAAATAAGTAAGTAAAACAAATAAATTCTTTCCCTTAAGGACCAATCTATAATTATAACACAATTCTCTTGATAGAATCATCAGGAATAACCAAGTTATCCCAGACTCTTAACAGGAAAGACTGTACTTCAGCTTCCTTTTGTCCTGGGAAAGGGGGCAACAAAGTAATCTTAAAATATCAAAACTTGTTCTACATAGTACATTAGTAAGCCAATTTCTTTAGTGGTGCAAAGAACACACTGAAGTGAGCAAAATTTTCCCTCAGGAGAGGTGAGAATAGGGCAAGAATCACCTAGAGCCTGCAGCTACTTTTTAACTTATTAAAGGCCTTGCAAGTATACCTGAGAACAATTCCAACCTGAGCATAAGCTGCCTGGCTAGGGCTCTTGTAGTGTAAACATAGTTCACAGGTGGAGGACCCTGGTGACAAGCTAGGTAGAGGTTAGTTTTGTGTAAAGAAAAAGAGGACGGGATGTACTAATATTATAGTAACATGAGTTTCCAACTCTCCACGGAGCGCTATATTGAGGTAACTAAACAATAGTGACTGAATTTCAGATCGGTATTCTATAGGCAAGACTGTTAATTTTACATTCCCTAGTGTACTGTGGAATGAAGGGAAGGTTTTCACTGGGAGTCACCTGTCAGCTTCTGAGCAAGATGTGCCTCTGGCTGCGCCTGCTTAACCCTCTTGATTGAGTGTTGAGAAGCCAAGCAATGCCCAGAGGTCTCCCTCACTTCCTTCCACAATCCATGGCACAGGCAGGGGACAGAGAAGGAACAAAAGGGAACCAGGAAAAAGGGAAGAGAAAAATGGTGCTGCCTTCAAATTATTCAGTGATGATTCTTGTGTCAGACTGCCTTAGCCTTGTTTATAAGAAATATTTATCTAACATTTATTAACTAAGAAAGCTCATGAAAGATCTAAACCAGTGATAACGGCTAATTCTTTGTAAGGGATCTCATTCAGTATTTAAAGGAAAAACATCTGGTATAATTAGAAATTGAGAATAACCCTGGACATAACCTTCTCTCATTTGTCTGTGAGAACATGTTCAGTGTTTAGACTAGCCTATATGGTACCTTTGTACAAATTAGGGCACACAATATGGTGATCACAGGCTGCCCTTGTGCAGTAGACAACTGACACAGCCCTGTGCAGAAAGCCTGCCAATACTGTTTTGCAGGGTTACAAAAAATGATAAAAATGGGAAAAGCACTACACTTGGAGTCAGAAAAATTCAAATCATTGCCTCATATGCTAGGACACTTTAGAAAAATTAGTAAATGCTCAACTAATATTTGCTAAAATTATAATTACCCACACTTTTTTAAGAAAAAGGATATTCTAATACGGAAAAATATGCACCCTGAATTTAAACCCATGTCACAGTTGAACCTCCTCAGTAACAGGAGGTTATAACTAATGGTGTATCTTGGGACTCCACAGAAGAGGACATTTTCGGGCATCAAGTGTGTTGCTGAGACTAAATGAAATGCTTGTGAGGGTACTGGTTCAGAGGCTAGAAACTTTCTATAAAGTGAGCAGATAGTGATACTTTATCACTATCTCAAATTTTTTGAAAGGTAAGTTTGTGTTAAAAAGACCTACGAAATTAAGATAAAAGAAAAAAAGGTATTATTTCTGTAAAACACCTTAAAATAATTTTAAAGTTGTATGGGTATGACATCTGTTCACATCATACCTTTAGAAAAAAGCAAGGAGCATGCCTCACTTTTGTTTTAGAATTAGCACAAAGGCTGAAGAAATTAATGGTAGCTATGGTTCAAAAACCATGTCTGTGTTCACTGTTTAAATATATCTTTTTATTGATTTCAAAGAGAGGAAAGGAGAGGGAGAGAGAGAGACAGAAACATCAATGATGAGAGACACTGATCGAGCCCGCAACCTGGGCATGTGCCCTGACAGGGAATCGAACCCCGATCGCCTGGATCCTAGGTCGATGCTCAACCACTGAGCCACGCCTGGCTGGGCTGTGTTCACTGTTTATTCCCTCCAGTACAAACCTAGGCAGTGGCTGCATTTGATACAAGACATGGGACACAGGCGAGAGGAGGTATCAAGGATGACTTTGAGTGGTGAATGTGTGAACCAGATGGTCAACAGTTGTTTTTCTTCACCTGGGAAGCTCTTTCTAGAGGGCAATGATGATCATGAGAGTCCCCCTAAGGCACACTATAGCAACTGATTTCTCTGGGCTCAGAATGATCATTTTGTTAGAGAGAGGATAAATTAGCATTCTTTAATTCTTGTATTTGTCTCAAGAAACATTCACTGGCTTTTTGCCAAGTGATCAGAGATCATTACATTCAGTAGAGCAGTTAAGAAGAGTTCTAGACAACTAACAAAAACTTTTCCTCAATAGTCCAAAGAATGAGAAATGATAAATAAGAGTGATATTCTTAATTCTGCACTTGAGTTCTATAAACAAGTTGGATTTATTCTGAATTGTTCCTTTATCTTAGATTTAGATGCTATGTCAGTCAGGGGGCAAGAAGGAATGGCCTCCTACTCCTGGCCCCCACCAAAAAAGGGGAGGGTGACAAATAATATTCTTTGAAATGTAATAACAAAAATAGGAGCTGCTGTAAGCAGCAGTCTGTATTAGGGTACTCCCTTCCACTGCCAGAGGCAGAGGGTAAGGAAGTGAAGAAAGAAAGGGGACACTGACATATCCTATTACTACTCAGGAACTTTCAATGATTCAATCTAGAGAGAGCCAATGGAAAAGAATGGCTATTTACCATTACACAGCAAAATGCAATTGGCCAAATAACTCTGAGTTAATGTTCAACAGATGGGAAAATAAAGCAGCACATGGTAGCATTGTATCACATGTCTCATTCTTTCCTTTAATGGAGAACACAGACCCTAATATCCTAGGCCACATATCTCTCTAGCAGCCCAAAAATGAACCTGGTTTATATTAGTGCTTAAATGTGTTCAGCCAATGGGTTTGAGGATATAGAGTTTAAAAGTGTGAACACGGCCTGGCCGAGTGTGGCTCAGCAGCTGAACATCAGCCTATGATACAGGAGATCGCAGTTTGATTCCCGATCAGGGCATATGCCAGGAGGCAGCTGATCAATGACTCTCTCATCATTGATGTTTCTATCTCTCTCTCCCTCTCCCTTCCTCTCTCTGAAATCAATAAAGATATATTAAAAGAAAAAAAGTGTGAACACTGGAAGGAAAATATTTTATTATAAAAGGGGGAAAAAATCAAGATAACACACCAGTTTGCTCTTACCCTATGCAAACACAAATGTAGCAATTAAACCACAGAGTAATCCATTGCAACAGTAAAACCCAAGAAGGAAATAATTCTTTACTATACTAATCCCATTTCCCTCCTCACCTCTAGGTGTACCAAAACCCTTAAAAAATCATTCCCTAAATGAGATACAAAAACTCAGAACATAAAGGTACGCTCCATGGTAAAGCTGACCTGGCACACAAACACACTTCAGAATTTTTTTTGACCAACTTTTAAATACTATTGCTTTTGGGAGATTTAATTTTTAAAAATATATTTTAAAAAGAAAGCACACTTAAAATATCAAGTTTTGGTGATCAGGATAGGTAAAGTAATTTTATTACAAATTTCAGGATCTAAAAAGTAATTTGTTACATTTACTAAGATAAATCTGAGATAACCTGTATCAAGCAAGTACGTCCTGCACAGTGACACTGATCCTCAGGTATAAAATGACACAGTCCCACTCCCCACCCTTTTAGAATTGAGATCAGCCAGATGAAAGAAAATTATGCTGATTCTCAACTAGTACATAGTAATTAGGATCATTTTAGTTTATCACTCTGGCATCTGGACTGTCAAGAGTTCAGTGACGAAGCCACCGTTCTTGAAATCTGAAAGCCAAACTAGAATCTTGAGGGCAATCTAGTCAAGCTTCTCTTTTCATACTTTTTACTTTAATGGTATTTAGGAGACTTTCTGAATTTCATAAGCGTTATGATTCAATTGGTCTGTAAGCCCAAGTATAAAAATCCAGTGAAGGACTGCAAAGGAGCTAGCTGGTCGACCAGTAAAAAGGCCAGATAGTATAGGGAAAACACACTAGCCTAGGTTCTAGACAGTGACCATCCAGCAAGAGAGATGCTGCTGGCAGGTAGTCATAAGTTCAGTAGGGTGCCCATACACAAAAGAGCCAGAAGAGCTCCAGAGGTCCTCTAAGCCATTCTCCTGCTAAACGAGACAAATCTATCTCTAGCTAGTTACTTGCCACACCACTTATAGGCAGGGAGTTTCCCACCCCCCTTCTTTTTAAAGATTACTAAAGGCAGTATCTTTACAAGGTAAAGCTATTAAGAAGCATCAGAGACTTGACAGGTACAGAGCAAGCACTCTCCATGGATCTTAGAAGAAACCTGGGGGTGAAGAGGAGCAATGTGTTACCTGAGAGGCAGCTGAGCCATAAGGGGAGAACACCCTCATGCTATAGGACTAAAACGGTAGGGAAGAAAAGAAAAGCCAAAAAAGAATGACTAAAAAACATAGCATTTTCATCAGAAAAGATGAAATTCCAAGGGCAGGACCAAGTCAGTAGCTGAGGAGCACGTAGCTAAGCCCTCTTGCCTGTGAATTTCTATCCCAGATGCTCCTAAATTAACCCTTTCCCTCTAAAACTGTGGCTCGCAAGGGGGAACAATTTTACCCCCAGGGACATTTGGCAATGTCAGGAGATATTTTTGGTTGTCACAACTGGGGGAAGGATGCTACTGGTATTTAGTGGGTACAGGCCAGTGATGTTGCTAAACACCCTACAATGCACAGGACAACTTTCTACAACAAATTATCAAGATATCATTAATGCAGAGGTTGATAAAACTGTACGAGAGGAGTACTTTACTCCTAAGATCCAGAGCCTACCATGAGCCAAGGCCCTTGGAACTTACAATCAAATGTGAACACCCTCTACCTCAAACCCTAATATGTGGATCAATCCACTGCCTTGTTGAGCAGAAATCTCCAATTACCCAAGAGTGTTCCACAAATGTCCAATCAGCTGCTGGAGGTTCAAATTCAGTCAATACAACTAAAACCTAATATCCTTTTTGTCTTATTTCTCTTCTGAAAAATCTGCTATTTCTTTCTCAGAGCCAATGCTACCCCAAATGCCACTGCCAGGATGGCAATAGCGGCAGCCCCTCCAAACAACAGTATAGACTTGTCCTCAGACAATGGCATAGACTTCTCTTCTCCAGCAGGGGAGGACCCTTCCATAAGACTCTCTTCCCTTATATTCATCTCTTCACTCAGCAGTATTTTTGTGGGTTCCAGTGCAGGGATCATCTCTTCTTCTCGTTCAAAAGGTTGAATTGTTGCTGCTTTCACCTCTTGTTCATCAAGTTCTATGAACAAAGATGTAGCTGGGCTGACTTCCTCAACTGCGGTCATTTCTGTGTCAGGTTCCATCTTCTCTAGCAAGGAAGTGGCAGTGATATGTGGAAGCAAGGGAGCTGGGGCTTTAGGGAATACTTCTTGCAGCTCCCTGGTTGACAAGGCTACAGATGCCACAGCAGCCTCTTCCACACCCTCAGGTATTTCTTCTTTCTCCACATGTACTATGTCAGAATTAGAAGAGTTGTTCTCACTCTTCTCTCCAGCCCCATTGCTATCTAAGCTTTTAACTTCTTCAGGATCCATTGCAATCTGCTGCCAGGACTCAGGACCTAGGGACACTGGTAGGCTTTCTGTATGCCAACTCTGGCTGGCTGACAGGGAAACAGGTAAGCTCTCTGACTGCCAAGAAGTAGTCACAGTTGGAGACTCTGGAGGACTGACTTGTCCAGAGTTGTCACTGGGCAGGATATAAATGTCATTGCTATCTTCTGCAAGAATTCCAGGGTATTCCTCCTCGGACTCAAGGCTAAAAACAGTGCCCTAGAAAAGAAGGAGAGTCAATACAAAGAATGGTAAATATATTTTATTTTTTGTTAATCCTCACCTGAGAAAATTTTTTCCATTGCTTTTTCAGAGTAGGAAGGAGGGGGGAAGGGAGAGAAAAACATCAATGTGAGAGAGACATATTGACTAGTTGCCTCCTGCACACACCCCGACAGGGGACAGGGAGTGAACCTGCAACTGAGGTACATGCCCTTGACCAGGAATGGAACCCAAAACCCTTCGGTGCACAGGCCAACACTAACTACTGAGACAGGACAAGAATTGTAGATACATTTTAAATAAATGTATATCTGGAACAAAAATTCTTTCCTAAACTGAAGTTCCAAGAATAAATACATTGTTTAAACCTATGTACTTTCTGGATTAAATGCATTTACTTGTAGATCAATGCAGAAGAAGAATTTTTAACATGATGGTCCTCTGATCAGTTTCCTTGAGGCTAAAAAAATTAAAAAGTTATATTCAATTCAATTTATATAGATTCAATTCAATAATTAATGCAAAATAAGAGAGAAAAGAAAGGCAAGAACCTTGCTCTCAAGGAACTTATGACTTAGTAGGGTACAAAAATAATGCTACACCATTGTCAAAGTGCTATTAAGAGTTCAGATGGAGAAATGACTTTTTGGTGTAAGCTGAAGAGAGCAGGGAGATGACTGAAAGCTTCATGGAGGAACCAGCATCTATACTGGACATCTGAGGATTAGATGAAAGCCACATAGAAGACACAATACCAGCAAAAGCATAGAAATGCAAAAAAGGGAAGTAGGAAGTAGCCCAGCTGAATTAGTGCACAGTACACATGAAGAATAGGAAGTTCAGTTAAGACAGGACTATGGAGGAACTTGTGAGCTAAGAAATATGAACTTTACTCAATAGGAAATGGTTAGTCAATGAAGTCTTTCAGCTACAAAACAACAATCCAAGCTCCACTTTACAATTACTCTGACAGCAGTAGCAAAATGGAGGGACACCAGAAATGCAGGACTCTTGCTTCTCTTTAGCAAGAGTCTACACAAAAGCAAATAGTGTCAGTTTTCATTTTCATTAACAGTTTAGTTTAACAGGATCCTACTGCCTAGTAGGTGCTGTGTTAGGCACCTCTCAGAGTTATAAGAAAGAATGAGACCCAATTCTTATTCTTACAAAATTCACTGTCTAGATGTGAAGACTGGCATATGAATAAGAATTTCAATATGATATAGTAAAGTTTAAGATAGGTGTATGCATAGGGTGCCAGGGGAGCCGAGAGGTTAAGAAATGATCAGAAAGAAAGGAAGAGAACCGAGTGTAATGTCAGAGACCTACAGAAAGTTTTACAAAAAGTTTGGATGGCACTCATAAATGCTACAGAGTTTGAATAGGATATGTAAAGCAAATTAATTTCTACTTCATTTTGTGATTATGGCTGCTATTTATATGAAGTAGACTAATTTTATTCTTCAATCAAGACCAAAAACTTTCTGTGTATATTAAGGGTCTAATAAATTAGTAGTCCCTCTAAGCACCCCACAAAAAAAGAGAAAACAAGAAATACAACTAAGCAAATCACATGACCATACTGTCAACAACATTCTAATGGCCCCACATTCTACCTCAACCCCTGCTTCAATCTCCTTAAGAAGAGGTCCTGAAAAAATACTTAGGAAATAAAATAAAAGTTAAAAAAGAAGAGGCATCACACAGTCCTGAAATGAATGAATATAAGCAGAAAGGCAAAACAGCACACTATTTAAAAATGCAATATTTGGCCTGGCCAGTGATGCTCAGTGGTTGAGTGTCATACCACGCACCAAGAGGTCACCAGTTCAATTCCCAGTCAGGGCACATGCCTGGGTTGCAGGTTCCATCCCCAGTAGGGGTGTGCAGGAAGCAGCCAATCAATGTTTCTCTCTCTCCCCTATCTTTCTTCTCTCTCTCAAATCAGTAAAAACATACTTAAACCCCCCCCCCCC